CCGCCTGAGCCGCCCGCGGTTTGGAGGAGCCAGCTTGCTCGCAGCAGGAAGCATCTACGGCAGGATAAAGTTAAATCCAGCAGCTCGTCCCGGAGTCAGGGAGCGTTGAAGGAGATGCTTAACAAATCATCTGGCGAGAGGGATGCTTCAGAAACATCAATATTGATGTCACACGAAGCCATTTCCCCCTGTTTATACAAAGTTCACACCATCCAATCAATCTATACAGGATAAAGTTAAATCCAGCAGCTCGTCCCGGAGTCAGGGAGCGTTGAAGGAGATGCTTAACAAATCATCTGGCGAGAGGGATGCTTCAGAAACATCAATATTGATGTCACACGAAGCCATTTCCCCCTGTTTATACAAAGTTCACACCATCCAATCAATCTATACGCTTTACGAAACAAATTGATCCTGCTGTGGAATGCTTCCTTGGGAGAGAAATGCTTTTTATCATTTTCTTGCAAGGAACGTGATGATTTACTATTTGTTTCATGTCCTGGATTTTTGTGCGTGTAGCTTGAGCATTACCAAGCCAACATTTAACTTCATCCTGAGCTGCAGGGAAACATGTTGATTAGAAGGAAGATGAGCTTCCCTGGTGTTTCAAATGATCGTATTTGCTCTCTTCCCTTTCCCCTTTTAAGTGAATCTCTCGGACTATTCGGTTAAGACTTCTTCTAGGGCACTTTTTAATTTCCTGAGTGACTACTTTGTGACAAACGGGCAACTGAGTACCAAATTCCTGAAATACATGAAGTTGGCATATGATTTAGTCTTATTTAATAAACAGCGATGCATTTATGCATTGAAAGGAAAAAAATTGAGATCTTCCTCTACTTTGTCTCCCAACAAGAACATCTGTGGGAGCTGAAAAGAAAGTCTGCAGAAACTCCTTGGGCAGTAGCAGCCCTATCCAGCTAGTTACTTCTAGAGGCACAATAACACTACCTTAGCAGAGACCTAATATACAAAATAGCTGGAAGTTAAATGGTGTGTTATTTTTACTCTGGTGGTTTACTGCTTGGTAAATGAAACAGGTTTAACTCTCAAGGCAAAAGAACAGTTAATTCAAATAGTTGGCTTGTCGCAGTCATTATCAATTAAACAAAATGCCTCCAAGTTCTTTTCCTTAGCTTAAGTCTGCGCTGCGACATTAGAGGAATTCCCCACACTTCGAAGCCTTACAACGTACCCTCGTCTGGCAAGGAACGGATTTCGATAGAAAGAGACTCTCGCTTCTATCATCTGAAGGCATGGCCTATGAAAAAGGAAGGCAGCGCCTGAAGATACAGAATTCGCCTCTCAAAAACGTGAGAGAGCAGCCCAGCAAAGCCCATGGTCCCAGCCTGCCCTTTCAGGTTGACAGCCTGAAAATAGTAAGAAAAACACCCCTTTGTTTACAGTTGCCCGACTAAGGCATGCATCACAGACCAGACAAATAAAGAATGATGTCTATATACCTCAGTACTGCATCACTGGGCCTTGTTATTCACACTAACACAGTTCGTGTAGCCACAGACAGCACAACCTGATACTGTACGGTGTCATGCTGCTGTATTTACATAGTTTAAAGTCACTGCTGCAAGCTGAGGGAGGTAGTGGGCACAGCTAGCTGTGGTTGGGTACCGAGTTGCAGGACTGGCAGTACATTTTATTTTGGTGTAGTGTATACAAAAGCCTAGTTACAGTTTATTTTCTGTGCTATCTCAGTGCACGGAATTGGAAAAATTAAAGTTATGTAAACATCTTCATTTTTCTAGATTAAATATAATGGAAAACTCTTGTTTCAACCACAACATTGTTGAGAAAAAAATTCAGATAAGAGCTTTGTCTTAACCTGGTAAATGAAATGTATTCAGCTACAGACTGAGATTACTTGTGGTGTTCGAAAGAAACCACATTTCTGTGGCAACTTAAATCCAAGTTGCAAAATACATTATTCCTGTTAGAGACACAGATTACCCGAGAACTTCATTTCACAGCTTTTTTTGTTGTGCCAGCCTGAGCAGCCCATCATTCCTCCTCATATCCCTCCAAAAGCAGCCAAGAAGAAAGGAATAGAGCGTAAAGGATCATTTTAAAACATAGCCCAGTTCCCTGGCCCAGGCTCACCAGCTGCCCCCACGGTGAGCTA